TAATTGTTGTCTTGAAGTATCGATTTGGAATCGAAGACCACCAGGTCTCATTCAAACAGCAACGAATTGATGCCTCCTTCCTTACGTAGTTGATTAAAAGCATATTTAATTTTCCACTAATTATTCAGTTTCACTAATTTAATTTCAGCAGTGGTGTTATTGGAATAAATTTGGATTTTTTATTTTTATAGCTCGTATTCAAATGCACAAAAATTAAGCTGTTCGACGAAGATACTCTTTTGCTCGATTTGAAAGATCCCACCATGCTGCGTGTGACGAAGTAGGAATTTCTGTTTAACCTGTTATCATAATTTCAACATTGAGTGTGAACCGAAGAATAATGGTTGATTAAACGCCTTCTAGGTTTAATGAGGTGCATTAATAATTTAAACTTTATTACGTCATTGGTTTATCATGCATACGTAATGTATGTATTGATTGGTTTCTTTAAGCATCAGCTTGTTATGTGAATCATTAGACAGTCATGTTAATAATTATTTTAGGTACCTAATTCCTGTCGATTTTCCAACAAAGATTATTTTCTTTGTGATAATGGCTTGGATAAACTTGAAAAAAGCAGAGAATGCTGAAGTAAGAAAGCTGTTCAGTAGCCATATTATGCTTCCTTTGCATTTATGTCTGCATGAATTGGCTTGCACAATATTTTTGTAATGAACGACGACGCGCGTCATTTTAGTGGGCTTAACGATAATGTTATATCTCCCCCTTGCTTTTTGACTCATAGAGGGATCATTTAAGCAGGTCACTACTCCATGGCATTTCATTTCATGGAAGCAACACACCGTCACGGTGTAAAGCACAAGTCAGGCACGTTCGCACGCAGCAAAGTCGACGATATGACTCAAACAACGTACCTGCTCGAAACACCACTTAGCCATTGGTGGTATTTTTCACTACGGGTGTGTTGTACATGGCGCTGATATATTATCTTCACACTCCTTACACACATGCTTTGTACAGGTGGTGTATATCGTATATTTCTTGCCTTTATGGTGTATCCCATCATGTACCTTAGGATAGGGTAATCCTGCTTTTTATTTTCATCAGATTTACAAGTTACGCTTTACATACAGTCTTCATAGAGCAGTTAAACAGCTCCGTGTCCATTGTCCTTAACGCTTCCTCATGTTCTGTGTATGATCCTGCGATGCGGAAACTTAAGCTGCTATCGAATTCCTGAATGGACGGTTTCCGTTTTAAACTAGCTGTATGAAGAGATTATTTTTGCACTGAAAGTCGAGCGAATACATTTGAGTACTTCCTTGTTAACTTTGGATTCCGTCAGGAAGATGTACTTTTCCTTTGCTGTTTTCATTGCTGTTCTCAGCTTTTTTCTTCGAAACATTGCTAATCCCTTTAAAGACTGTAGAATCGTTTTATAAAGGAGGCACCATGCTGACATGGAGAGCGTAAAATTATGCTACCTTGGTGGTTGTTACGGGTTGTGGACATCCGTAGTAACAACTGCGACGCTGTCAGCTGTTTTTCTTCAGAGGAAACTATTATTATTACGTGAGTAAAACGTACTGGTGCCCTAATATAAGTCAACTTCACTTCCTGATCCAGGGTCTGTTTGAATTAATTAACTGCTGATCTCCTCTTTTAGTTCAGCGC